GACTCAGACAGGAAGATATAAGAAGGGCCTGAAGCTACTGGAGAAAACCACAGCGGCCTGGCGGGGCTGTGAGATGGGCAATAAACTGCCAGTCTTTCCTGAGGGATGAGGATCTAGATAGTATCACAGGGATCCTAGGTTGGTGGGCAGGACATCATCTGCTCACAGACAACATCTCGGCTGGGTTTACTGACCTCTGGACAAGATCTATTTGATTTGAATTACTGCCTAAGGCATTGGCTATTTGGACTAGATATCCCCGTGAAAAGTTAAAATCAAGTTGGAGATAGTGATTTGGGAATATTTTACCAGTTGTTTAGGAAATCCTGGATTCTCATGTTGTCTACATTTACGACTTTGTATGCTTGCAAAGAAACTAAAAATTAAATATGTCCCTTCTCTGTGAAGTTTCTTTAAAATTCACATCTCCGATACATATATATATGAATATATGTAAATAGCCAAGGAAGAGTTGGTAGCTTCCATTCAACATATTTAGCTGAATCTTTTCAACCAAAATGTAAATCTGCAATGTATTCTAATGTAACCCAATTAGAGCTACTAACACCATCTGTATATATATTTTTGGTTCAGCTGTCAAAAAACACACAAATACACCCCAGGAATACAATATTCAATAGTTGTATGATATTTCATTGTACCATACTTCATTTAACCTTTTTCCTTTTTTTTTTTAAGATTTTATTTATTTATTTGAGAGAGAGAGAAGGAATGGGATAGTGGCAGAGGGAGAGGAAGAAGCAGGCTCCCCACTGAGCAGGGAGCCTGATGCCGTGGCTCAATCCCAGGACTCCAGGATCACCACTTGAGCCGAAGGCACACGCTTAACCAACTGAGCCATCCAGGCGCCCCCTTCTTTCTATTTTTAAATGAACTAATTTTCACTTTTTTCCTTTTAGAGTTACTATTTTAGTGCATATTTTAATAGGTAAGTCTTTGTTCACATCTGATCTTTTTTGGAGGATAGATTATTAGAGGTGGAATTACTACAGCAAACAATATGCAGTTTTAAATTATATGTTTTTAAATAAAAGTAAACACATGTATTTAAAAAGCCAACTTTAAGGGACACCTGGGTGGCTCAGTCAGTTAAGCGTCTGCCTTTGGCTCAGGTCATGATCCTGGGATCCTGGGACCAAGCCTCACATCGGGCTCCCTGCTCAGCAAGGAGTCTGCTTCTCCTTCTGCCCTTCCCCCTGCTCATGCTTGCGCTCTCTCAAATAAATATATAAAATCTTAAAAAAAAAATAAAAGAAAAAGCTAACTTTAAGACTTCTAACAAAACAACCTAGTACTCCCCAGACCCTAACAAAACAACCTAGCACTCCCCAGAGCCTATCGGTTCTGTGTCCCTCTGTTTAGCTGTTTGTTCTGCTGTTTACCTTCAAACAGTGCTTTTCCTTGATTTTAAATTTCAGACATTATTTATTGATTCTACCATGAAAGGAATAATTACATTTCTTATATGATGAAACATATTCTTTTTCTCTCCCCTCCTCCCATTGATTACACTCTTTGGCTTCAATCAATATTCTGTATTTATATTTTTATGCTGTATAAATATTATTCTCTAAGCCATGAAGAGTATTATGTTGTATGTCCTTTCTTATACATTTAAAATTTTTTCACAACAGCTAATAACTGCTTATCTTAATCCATATGTTTAGTGTGGCTGTTTTAAAACCTGGCCCAAAATTCTTTGACCTTTTTCCCATTGCTAGGTGAGTCTACAAACTGTTCTTGATTGTGGGTGGGCTTGTGAGTGTTTGATAAGAGTCGACCATGTGTGAGTACTCTGGTTGGTCCAGCAACATGGTCTTGACATCCCAGCCCAGGTGCCAGTGTGAACTGAGTCTCCAGATGATTCCAGTGCCCAGCAATGCTGAGTCACCTCCAGCCTGTGGGTCATTCCAGCTGAGGCCCCAGACATTATAGAGTAGTCATCTCTGTGTGCTGTCCAAACTCCTGACTCAAAATTCAAGAACATAATTACATGGTTATTTTAAATAGCAACACTTAGTTTTCCATGTATCTATTGTTAATTTGTCTTTAATTCTCAACACGGTCAGGGCGCCTGGGTGGCTCAGTAGGTTAAGTGTCTGCCTTCAGCTCAGGTCATGATCTCGGGGTCCTGGGATCGAGCCCTGCGTTTGGCTCTCTGCTCAGTTAGGAGTCTGCTTCTCCTTCTCTTTCTGTCCCTTCCCCCATTCATGCTCTCTCTCTCAAATAAATTAAAAAAATATATATATATTTTTGAAGATTTTATTTATTTATTTGACAGAGACAGACACAGTGAGAGAGGGAACACAAGCAGGGGGAGTGGGAGAGGGAGAAGCAGTCTTCTCACTGAGCAGGAAGCCCGATATGGGGCTCGATCCCAGGACCCTGGGATCATGACCTGAGCCAAAGGCAGACGCTTAACGACTGAGCCACCCAGGCGCCCCAATAAATAAAATCTTAAAAAAAAAAAATCCTCAATATGGTCAAGCACATTAGTTCCATTGTTTTCCTTAGAAAAATTTCTCCTGGAGATCTCTGTCCTCTTGTTCCAATCTGGACTGGAGGCATACCCATCAGCCTAGGATGTGCTTGGAGGAGAGACAGTGTGGCATGTCACTTGTTACTGAAGGATGTGAGCCCTGTGGCAAGGCTGCCTGGGTTTGCATCTTGGCTCCACTACTCGCTGGCTGTGTGACTGTGTGCAAGTTAATTTCTCATGCCTCAGGCTCCTCATTAGTAGAGTGCTTGGCACACAGTAAGTGCTCTTATTGTTGGCATTATTATTGTTTATTATTCTTCCTTTCGTGTTGTCCCGGGAATTCCCACTGCCTCCAGCTTATGTCTGGATCCCCTAGTTCCTAGGTTCCATGTCTTTCTCTTTCTTGGTTACTTCCTTGTCTTAATAAAACACATCACCCAAAATACATCTCTTGAAAAAAGATGCTTGGGAGGTAAAGTTTTTCGAGACTTTGTGTATCTGTTTTGAATTGTCTTTATTTAACACCACACTTGTAATGTGACAGTCATAAAAGTCTAAGTTGGAAAAAAATTTTCTCTTTGAATGTTGAAGCTGTTAGTCCATTGTCTTGAAGCGTTCAGTGTCACTACTGGGAGGCCTTTCTGATTCTCGATCCTTTGTAGGGTCGGTTTTTCTTTTTCTTCCTAGAAGTATTAGGTTCTCTTTTCATCCCCATTGTTTCAAAATGTGATAATGATGAGACTTGGTGTGAGTCTTTTAAAATTAATTATTTAGGGCACTATTTCAATTTGGAAACTTAGGTCCTTCAATTCTCAGGACTTTTCTTTACAATTTTTTGTTGTTAATTTTCTCACCTCCATTTTCGGTTTTCTCTCTCTGGGACTCCTAATAAATATAGGATCTGTCGAATTGGTTCTCTAATTTTCTTATCTTTTCTGTTGACTTTTTGTTCAACTTTCTGGGAAATTTTCACATTTATCTTCTATTCTTCTGATTTAAAAAAAACTCTGCTTTCATATTTTTATTTTATGATTCTGATTTCTTATTCTTGGATTGTCCCTTTTTATGTATCACATGTTCTTATTTCATGAATTTAATGTCTTTTCTCATTGAGTAGATTGATTATAGTGCTTTTGGAATGTCTTTCTTTCTTCACTGGTCTGTTTCCTCCAAGTTCTGTTTTCATCAGTTTGCTTTTGACTCATTCCCTCACGGCACAGGCTTTTCTCAAATTCCAGGGGTTCGGGGCACCTGGGTGGCTCAGTTGGTTAAATGACTGCCTTCGGCTCAGGTCATGATCCTGGAGTCCCGGGATCGAGTCCCGCGTCAGGCTCTCTGCTCAGCAAGGGGTCTGTTTCTCCCTCTGACCCTCTTCCCTCTCGTGCTCTCTGTCTCTCATTCTCTCTCTCTCAAATAAATAAATAAAATCTTAAAAAAAAAAAAAAATTCCAGGGGTCCTCTATTACCTACTCTATTTCAGTTGGATATTCTGTGCACTTGGATACTCTGAGGCTTGTCAACTGGTGGGCCTCCCTGTAGGAGGCCTGGTCAGGGATATGACACAAGGGAGCCCCAAGCACCAAGGTCCATAGGTCTTTTCCCCTTCGGCTTGACAGTTTCCCCAAAAATGAATCCTCTCATTTTCTACCAGGTGATTATGAGGGATTTTAAGCTGGCTGATGGCATTTTGAAAGCCAATAAGGGAAGAGGGTTAGGAGAGGGAAAATCTTATCGTTCCAAAAGCAGATATCATGTAGGCTCTCTTTGCTCTAAGCATGGCTGCCATCCCCACCCTCAGCTGTGCAGGCACACAGTTCCCCAAGTCCAGTCTCACATTAACCCAATCGATTAGAACCACAAAGCTAAATAAACTCCATGAAGTTTTAGGTAAAAGGTCAATACTTTATCATTCTAGAATTCCTGGATTAAAAGAAAATTAAAAAAAAAATTCCTTCTCATCTTTTATACCTTCTCTCCTGCAAAAAAGTAGGAAATTCACCCAATATAAGCCCCTTTTCCCCTCTGACTTTACCATGCTTTTTTTCTTTGATAATACCTCAGAATTGGAATATTCAGGGTCCAAGTTTGTTTTAAAATAACCCAATGAGCTGACAGACGGAGCTTCTGGAATTCTGCAGCTTGTGCTAGAGTCTGCAGATGGGAAATTGCCGTCAGTTAAAGGGTGGTGCTATTATCATAGCCCAATTTTTGAAAGACTTTAGGAAAAAAAAAAAAATCCTCTGAGTTAATTAGCATCCATCACAGGAACTGGTTTTGTGTTGCAGTATTCTAAGAACTCAGATAATAAGAAAACAGTATTTCAATCCCTAACTTTTAACTAACATTTGCCTCTTAAAAATGCAGATTATAAAGTAAGAATGTTACCTGTTATATGAAAATGCTCTTATATGGCTTAGCTCATCATGAAATATCAATTATGTTCCAAAATCAACTAAATACTACTCTACTGATACCTAAGATAGGAATAATTTTGTTTTACCTCTCCAATCTGCTTAATCCACAAATCTCTTCCAAGAAACTCCTGATGTAAGACTATAGGAGCTGAGCTTAGATTAAAAGCCATGGAATCACTGGTCTTTTCTTTAATAAAAGGCTGGAGATCAGAATTTATCTAGGAGAAGTAGTCAAAAGAATTAAATTAGTAAAATGCATACATACTAGTACGTTTTAGTCATTTCAGAAAGCACCAGTTAATGCAGTGAAAAATGAAGCTAAAGGAATACAGCTTTTAGGTGAACTCTAATAAGCAAAAGAACAGTTCATATGATTAACAATAACCTTTAAAATTCTTTAAAATAATTTTTCCCTGACACATTTCCTCTTCTATTTGGCAGCAGACTTTGTTTTACTTTTTAAGTTAAAGCAATAATTTAAAGTTTTAGTAAATGTAATTGCTTAATATTAAATATTAAATTTAAGATTTAATAAAATATATCAAAACTCATCTGGAGATATTTTACGTATCCGTAACATATGTATATATTTTCTCCTCTCTCAAGAGCTATTTAAGTAACATTTAAGAAATATGTGTCAAATGGAATTTTTAAGTTACATATATACAGAGACAGCAATATAACAGCTAACCTGAAACTTTTTATATTTCATAATGCCCATTCAAAAGAGTCAATTATTAGAATTAAAGCTTTCAATTTTACTCAGTTTATTTCTAAATCTCCTAACTTTCCATAATTTGTTTTACCTAAGAAACTGTACATAAGGGAACTGTAACAAAAATGCAAATATACTTTCATTCTGTAAATGGCAACATTACATGTTATTTAATAATTTGTAAGAGTTCTCTTAAGAACCCTTTCAGGTAGTAAGAAAAGACAAGCATCATAAATATGGTATAAGTTGTCGCTTTCTATCAGAGTTACACAGTACTTACCAATCATACTGTTTATATTATGTAACAATCACCATCGATGGCTGATAGATTTTAAGTGCACAATAAACATTTTTTTTTTGAGATATAAAAGCAGCTTATTAAACGGCAAGAAGTTTCTTATGTATCATTTTAGCTATTTAAGTACTGGAAAAAGAGAAAATGTGCAAATACCTTATGACTCATGGCCATGTGCTTCCCATACTGAAATGCCATATCCTGAACGTCAGCATCATGCTTTGCTAATTCCATGGCAGCTTGGCAGCTCTTTGCTAATAAGGCTCCATGGGAGAGAAAAGTCTGTTTCTTCCAAGTCGATATTCCAATATCTTCTGTGATATGATTTTCCTTAAAAAAATGCAACAAAGCCAGGATTTTACAAAAATGCTTTAGGAGTAATTTAATTGTTTTGGCTTGTGAAGAATAGAAGAGTTAAGAAATGAACTATTTTAAAACACTCAGGCTATTGCATTAAGACAGAACTAAAAGAAGCTAAACCCTAGTGCTACCTAAAGGGAGTTAAGGAGGTGGAAATTGCTGTTCTAGGGTAATGGCGGGAAAAATGTAAGAAATGCTGAAGTACTAGACACTTTTATTAAAATTTATTTGTAGGATAAGGCAAAATTAGAAACTTGCACCCCCAAACTAACTCCTTTCTATATTCACGTAAGTTCTTGAGTGCTGGTATTCCAAAACACCAGAAGCTTATTGCCTTTAACTTATGTGGAAATGTCAAGGGCATAATGAAGAAACTGCATTCTCTTAGAAACAGTTAAATAAAAAAATCACAGAGGAGGTAACCCATTAAAATGGAGTATGACTGGATCCATTATCCATCCAAATTTATTCCCATAAGAAGAAACAAGTACATAAGGGAGTATAGAAGTGTAGTTTATTTAATTTATCTTCTTAAATTATGAAAATCATTTTAGTATCTATAAGTGTATACATACCTACTACCTCTAGACCAGTGATGTCCAATAAAAATATAATGTAAGCCACATGTGCAATTTAAAATTTGCTAGTAGTTACATTAAAAAAAGTGAAAAGAAACAGGTGAAATTAATCTTAATGACGTATTTTATCTATCTCAATATATCTAAAATATTATTTCAACATATAATCAATATAAAATTGAGATATTTTTATTTTTTTATACTAAGTTTTCAAAATCAGTGAGTATTTTACACTTAGAGCACATCACTAGCCACATTTCAAGTGCTCAGTAGGTACAAGGAGCTAGAGGCTGACCTACCAGACCAGTCTGCTCTAGGCAGGTGGCTCCCTGAGGATAAGAATGATGAACAAAGTACATAAAACAATGTTCACTTTATGGTATTTCTTTGAAACTTCAAGCAAACTAAAATCCATCCAGAAGGATTAACTAACCCAAACAATTTCTTCCTGCTACCCATACCATAATCGTTTTCCTTCCATCATTCTTTGAGGACAAAATAAAAAAATAATAAGAAAACAGGACCATGAGAAGGTCAGCTCAGATCTAGCCCTACTTCTTTCACCATGCTGAAGGGCACCTTCAGCCCACTGGTCAGATCAAATTCTCAGCTTCATTTTATTTATCATGCCTTTAAACAAAAAGGAAGTTCCACTTATGGCAACAGTTACAAGTATGCAACATAACACTGTGTAATAATAAAAAAGGCCACCCAAGGGAGAAGCAGTGCATAAAGTATTTTATAAAACATTAGGCATGAATAATAACATATTTAATTTTAAGTATTTGAGAATGTATTTTTAAGTGAGCAAAGCTAATATACCATATTAATAAATCAAAGATAGAAACCATATTATCTCTCCATATATACTAAATGGCATTTGACAAAATTCAACTCCGATTCCTGAGGGGGGAAAGAAAACCTAAATAAAATAGGAACAGAGGGGGCGGAGCAAGATGGCGGAGGAGTAGGAGACCTGGATTTCGTCTCCTCTCAGGAATTCAGCTGGATAGGGATCAAACCATTCTGAACACCTACAAACTCAACAGGAGATCGAAGAAAAGAAGAGCAACAACTCTCTCATCAGAAAAACGACCACTTTCTGGAAGGTAGGACGTGCGTAGAAGTGAATCTGCGGCGATATTCGGGAGGATAGACGGCGGGGGAGGGGCCTCCGTCGGCCGCGTCTGGCAAATGATAGAGCCCCGGAGCACAAAATCGGAACTTTTAAAAGTCTGCTCCACTGAGGGACGTCACTCCGGTGGCTAAGCGGGGGGTGGAACCCTCCGGGACAGTGTGGTCTCAGCACCCTCGGGGTCAAAGAAAGACCGGGGTGCCTGAGTGTGGCAGAGCTCCCAGGTAACAGCGCAGGGAAGCCGGCTGCAGAGGCGGAGCCCAGGCGCGGGCTCTCAGCTCGGGGTGGCCATAAACCGTGATCCGCAGCACAGTCGGGCCCCTGCTCCTCCAGCAGGGACCCAACAAGCGGCAGATCCGGGGAGACTCACCTTCCTCCCCCGGGAGGAGCCGCGCGGGAGTGCACCGCAGGGATCTGCTGGGTTTGGAGACTCCACACGGGGTCGGGTGCCAGAGATAGAAACGCGCGGTCACAGGCCGGGTGAGCATGGAGTGCGGCCGGAGGCAGGGGAGACGGGAGTGACTGACTGCTTTTCTCTGGGGGCTCACTGAGGAGCGGGGCCCCGCGTTCTCGGCTCCTCCGGGGCAGAGATTGGGAGGCCGCCATTTTCACTCTCCGCCTCCAAAGCTGTACGGAAAGCTCATAGGGAACAAAAGCTCTGGAGAGCAACCCGAGCAGATTACTTAACCCGGATAGGGCAAGGGCGGGGCAATTCCGCCTCCAGCAAAGACTTTTGGAAACCATGGCAACAGGCCCCTCCCCCAGAAGATCAGCCAGAACAGTCAGCCAAGACCAAGTTCACCGATCAATGAGAACGGCAGAACTCCAGCGCTAGGGGAATACTATACATAGAATTCATGGCTTTTTCCCCATGATTCTTTAGTCTTTCAAAGTTAATTTTTTTTTAACTGTCTTATTTTCTTTTTTTCTTTTTTTGAATTTTTCTTTTTCCCTTTTTCAACCAACATCTTATCAATTCCTTTTTTAAAAAACATATTTATTTTTCATTTTTAGAGTCATATTCTATCCCTTCATAGTAGTTACCCATATTTTTGGCATATATATAGAAGTTGTTCTCTCCTTAAAATTTTGAGATAGTTTCTTCTAACAGATCAAAATATACCCTAAATCTCTAGTATATGTTTTTTTTCTACTCCCCTGTCTGATCACATTCTCTCCCTTTTTTTTTTCTTTTTTTAAATCCTCTTCTTTCTTTTTTCAAACAACTTCTTATCAATTCCTTTTATAAAATTTTTTATAATTTCCATCTTTACATTCATATTCCATCCCTTCATCATATCAACCCTTATTTTTGTACATATATAAGTTTTTCTTTCTTTAAAATTTTGGGAGGTACTTTCTTCTAACAGACCAAAATACACCAAAAATCTAGTGTGTGGCACTGATCTATATACCAGCCTGATCATATTTGATCACATTCTGGGTTTTTTTTGTTGTTGTTTTGTTTTGTTCTGTTTTTGTTTGTTTTTATATTTATCTTTTTCTTTTTCTTCTTTTTCTTTTTTCTCTCTTTCCCTTTCTTTTCCCACTGTTTCAGGTCTTTTCTGATTTATTTAGAGTATATTTTCTGGGGACGTTGTTACTCTGCTAGCATTTTGTTCTCTCATTAATCTATTCTCTGCACAAAATGACAAGATGGAAAAAATCACCTCAACAAAAAGAACAAGAGGTAGTACCAACTGTCAGGGACCTACTCAATACGGACATTAGTATGATGTCAGATCTAGAGTTCAGAATCATCCCTTTAAAGATACTAGCTGGGCTTGAGAAAAGCATGGAAGTTATTAGAGATACCCTTTCTGGAGAAGTAAAAGAACTAAAATCTAACCAAGTTGAAATCAAAAAGGCTATTAATGACATGCAATCAAATATGGGGGCGCTAACTGCTAGGATAAATGAGGCAGAAGCGAGAATCAGTGATATAGAAGACCAAATGATGGAAAATAAAGAAGGTGAGAAAAAGAGAGATAAACAACTACTGGATCACGAGGGCAGAATTCGAGAGATAAGCGATACCATAAGACGAAACAACATTAGAATAATTGGGATCCCAGAAGAAGAAGAAAGAGAGAGAGGGGCAGAAGGTATAATGGAGCAAATTATAGCAGAGAACTTCCCTAATTTGGGGAAGGAAACAGGCATCAAAATCCAGGAAGCACAGAGAACCCCTCTCAAAATCAGTAAAAATAGGTTAACACCCCGACATCTAATAGTAAAATTTATGAGTCTCATAGACAAAGAGAAAATCCTGAAAGCAGCTCGGAAGAAGAGATATGTAACCTACAAGGGTAGAAAGATTAGATTGGCAACAGACCTATCCACAGAGACCTGGCAGGCCAGAAAGGACTGGCATGATATATTCAGAGCACTAAATGAGAAAAATATGCAGCAAGAATACTATATCCAGCTAGGCTGTCATTGAAAATTGAAGGAGAGATAAAAAGCTTCCAGGACAAACAAAAACTAAAGGAATTTGCAAACACAAAACCAGCCCTACAGGAAATCTTGAAAGGGGTCCTCTAAGCAAAGAGAGACCCTAAAAGCAACATAGACCAGAAAGGAACACAGACAATATACAGTAACAATCACCTTACAGGCAATACAATGGCACTAAATTCCTATCTTTCAATAGTTACCCTGAATATAAATGGGCTAAATGCCCCAATCAAAAGACACAGGCTATCAGACTGGATTAAAAAACAAGACCCATCGATATACTGTCTGCAAGAGACTCATTTTAGACCCAAAGACACCCCCAGATTGAAAGTGAGGGGGTGGAAAACCATTTACCATGCTAATGGACACCAAAAGAAAGTTGGGGTGGCAATTGTTATATCAGACAAATTAGATTTTAAACCAAAGACTGTAATAAGAGATGAGGAAGGACACTATATCCTACTTAAAGGGTCTATCCAACAAGAAGATCTAACAATTATAAATATCTATGCCCCTAACATGGGAGCAGCCAATTATATAAGGCAATTAATAACAAAAGCAAAGAAACACATTGACAACAATACAATAATAGTGGGGGACTTTAACACCCCCCTCACTGAAATGGACAGATCGTCTAGCAAAAGATCAACAAGGAAATAAAGACTTTAAATGACACACTGGACCAAATGGACTTCACAGACATATTCAGAACATTCCATCCCAAAGCAACAGAATACACATTCTCCTCTAGTGCCCATGGAACATTCTCCAGAATAGATCACATCCTTGGTCATAAATCA